GCCCAAGGCGTAGCTAGTAAATTTCCAACCGTGCAACGGTGTCCCTATGTCTCGTCCAATCGAAGCCGAGATAAGATAAAGCAAGGGTCGAGACGACTTGCACGCCCTGTATCTCCGTGAAAATTAGCCGATTTCTCCGTTAACAGCGTGTCTCATCCCCCCGTCGATTCGAAAAGTTCGACCTTAACCTTCGCCCTGCCCGTAACCCCAATCTGGCTTCCCTCCCTCAAGATTAACGACACGTTCCTTTGAATACAGGCCGCGATAAGTCTGATAACACGGGCAAAAAAGTTATTTAACTTTTGCCGGACGAGGGGGGTGGCTTTCACGGACTATCGGCCGTCGACACGATGACAAACGAGAGGGATACTCGTCTCGATAAGTAGCCAGGAAACTAGCTTAGATTAGATTAAAAATGAGAGGGTATCACGATTATTTTTTGAGGGATCATCTTCGTTGTCTCTTCGAAGATGCGCTAAACTGTGTGTTGAGATATTGATGAAGAGGGTGACATTAAGAGTTATAATCGGTGTGTGGGTTTTTAGTTAAAATGTGAATATTTTTAATATTTTTAATTGAAATATAAATGAATAAGATTTTCGAAAAGAGATATATCTAAATCATCATTAATTTAATGTTTTTAATTAACATTGACATAAACTAAATAATATATGAATAAATTAATCATTCAAAGCAATATGAATAGAAATAAGAAGAAAATGTATTAAATGAAAAATTCATTATTCCAAAAAAAAAAAAAATAGAAACTTGCTACCTTTTCTTTTACTTCATTTTTTAGATTATTATACATTTAAATTTTGCATACACATCCGCAATCTATTTATTACTATAATAATTCCATGATCCCAGAGATTAAAAAAAAAAACCCTCAAATCTCCAAATAAACGTTTCAATTTCACCATCATCGGACAAAATATTACAAAAACCTTCCAATATCCCGCCATCTTTCCACCTTATCTCCCCATCATCGAGCTGGAGCTCGCAGTGGGAGGCATCCTTCGATAACAGACGAAGCCGCGATCCTTATAAACGGTAGCCGAACGTGCATCCACTGATACAGGGATCTTTGAGGCACGTGGAGAATAAAATTGGCCGGAACATCCACCCTGAGATAGAAACACACAGAGAGGAAGAGGGGGAGTGCAACGAGGATGTTAGCAACGGTGCGGATCTCCCTCACGGAATCCAAGGAAGAAACTGGAAATCCACTGTTGGGTCGGGGTGGGGAGGAAAGGAGGCGAGATAAATCTGTTTCCAGGCGAAGATCATCGAAATTCCGGGGACGTAGGAGGGTGGTGCACGTAAGGGGTGGCGAAACCGAAAGCAGATGGGGATTGATTGGCTCGTGTCTCTCCGCCGCCTCGTAAAGGCAGCTCTCGGTCGAATCCAGTGCACACAAAGGGTCTTATGCACGCGTGCACGCAATCACGCACACGTCGAACATCGCGCGACTTCCACCCAGGGCGCCACGGTTGCCCTGTAGGGGTAGCTCTGGTAAACACGCGCGTATCGCGTCATTGCGCCCCGCGTGTACTGCCTGGGTCACGCGCATCCTAATATACATAATTCACACACCGAGTACACTGTACACCGGTCGGAATATTTACTTTGCGTGGAATAATTTCGTAAAACTATTATTATACTTTGTCGCGAATTTTTGACGAATTTCATCTTCCGTTTCGTTCAATATTTAATGTTTTTAATTACATTGGTAAACTAAATAATATATGAATAAATTAATCATTCAAAACAACATGAATAAGAAATAAGAAGAAATATATTGAATTTTGTATTACGATGAAATTTGGGTAGATTAATATTCTAGATTTGACTAATTCTTGTAAAATTAATTTTTAAACACATGCATTTCTCTATTTCTTAATTATTATTTTTTATCACATTGTCGATTATAATTTTATTTTAGTCTTGTAATATAAATTCACACTATTAATTCAAAACGAATATGATATTTAATATTTCAAGTATAGATAACGATATCTGAAGAATAATACATTTAAATATTCCAATTTCTCTTCGAAAGCCGTCAAGAGATTATTCAGGACTTCAAAAATATCACTTATTCCACCCTTTATTTAAAGTCCCTTTTTCCTCTATTTCACTTATCTATCCTAAAAATTAACAACCCTTCTTAATCACCCACACGCACGACCCACACAACACCTTCTAGACACGCACAAAAGTACGCTTTGCTCGTTCGCTTCGACCCACGCACACGCGAGTCTCTCGTACGCGGTCAAACGCATAGATCACAGGGACGCGTGTATTGCACGCATACCCAGCCGTACATGGCCGCGATAAACACGCGGGTACGTGTACACGCGTTAAGAACGCGAGCGCGCGGGTTTATGAACAGAGGGTACAAGTTGCGAGGAGAACGAGGATGTATGGAGCAACGGCTATTGTTACGGGTATTATTTGCAGCTAATCGGAATGGCAGAGCGTGAGAGGAGGGAGGAGGGGGTAAGTCTCGGTGGTGGTGAATGCGTACGGCGAAGTGAATGAACGAGCGACGGACGACCGAGCGATGGGGGGAGGAGAGGGGGGGAGGAAGAGGAAGTTCGTGGCATGCCAGGTCAACCTGATTGCGGGCCGGCTCGCCACCACGCCCTGACCCACGAGATTTTCAAGATATCCGACACACGAGAGGGTCGACAGGCGCAGGGGTCAACCAACTCGAACCCCTCGCCTTCGTCATCACGACGTCGACGTCGTCGTGTGTCGTCCCCTTTCGCCTCGATGCGAAACTTTCCTACAGGCCTGACGTGTACTTTAAATAACCGGAGGTGTAGCGTAAGAGGTAGAAGGAGAAGATCGGGAATAGAAACTCACCCGTGTCGAGAGTAGTCGCGAATCGGAGGAACGGTTCACCGATGACTCGAGCTGGTGGTGATTCATCTGAAACAAAACCACGGTTGCTTGTTAGATTGATATGCTGCCTGGGGGATTTCGAGGAATTGGGGAGGATAAAGTGGTGCCAGTCGAGAGATGGAGTTATGGCGGCAATGTATGATTCTAAATTAATTAAGTAAATTTTTCTTTTTAGGTTTTTTTATGATTGGTATTTGCATTGGTTAAGGGTTGGGTTAGTTTGTGTTTTACGATTAGTTATGAAATGTTGTCGAATAGTTCTTTTGGATAGTAAATTGAGATACATTTTTTTATTCATATAAAATAAAATTATATATACTTCTATTATAATTTCTAAATATAATTCTTATCTATATATTATCTAATATAATTATCTATACACGTTTACGTATTTTCTAATTTAAATTATATCTCTTATCAATATGATAAGAGATATAACTCGTCGTGTATCAAAGCAATTTCCTGTTTGTCGAAATATTTAAGTAATCAATGCATTAAAAACTATTTTATGATAATGTAAATGAAACTTTGATGAAATTAATGCTCTTATGAATATTCAAAAATCGAAATTATGAAATAAAACTAAAAAAAAAAAAAAAAAATATCAAAGTTTACTTAAGCACTTAGTTCAATATAATCAAGAAATTATTTCATCTAACATAAATTAATCATATAATATACTTAGATATGTATTCAACGAAACCACAAATAAGTACGTGACAAAAAATTTTTAATCGTATCAAAGTGACTAGCTCTTTATTTTAAAAGATCAAAAGCAACGTGGCAAACATTATTTCGTTCGTGCACAAATTGCCAATTTAGTTTTCGAATGATATATACAACACAGTTACTGCAATTATTATTGTTTTCGGGGGAATAATAGTTACAAAATCGTCGTAACCATTCACGTGCAACATTTATTGATGTGCAACGATTGAACCTGTGCAATTAATTAGTTTGCTATATTAAATTCACGTTTCAGTTAATGAAAAATCTGTCAATCGCTCCCCCACATACCTACATTATAAATAGACGTCGCATTACACGCAATAATACCTTCAATATAGTGATATTTTCACCATCAAATTGATATCACGGATACGCCATATTGCATTCTGTACGCACGAATTCAAATTCTAATCATAATAAGTGTTTCAAAATAATTTTTGACTATCATGAATGTAGAAAAATATTTAGATCGTACAGATACACGTATTAACGATGAAGAAATTCATAGTAAGTAAATGTCTTTCATAAGATTCAATGCACGTATGTTAGCTTCTTGACATAGATTGCTAAACTCGTTAGATAGGATGGGGATTATATTATGATATCATCTTCATTTACGTCAATATTATTATCCGTAAAGAAAAGTGGATTAAAATAACGAAAAAAAAAAAA